ATTTATAAATAAGTTATAGACAATTATTTGTATAATGATATAATGGTAGAGGTGGATCATGAACTACAAAAGACAAAAATGAAAAGGTAAGTGGTTATCTAAATTGAATTAATTAATGTCGATCACTATACACCAGCATCGTCTCACTTAGTTCATTGTTATAGGGATCTAATCTGATTTTAATTTTGTTCGAGCAGAGCTTGGTACTGCTAGTCTTGCACCACCTGGTGCAGTTGCCATCTGTTCTTTGGATCTCTCTTAAGCAACTTTCTCAAGAACCCTATGGTTTGCTTGCACATAGGTTCATCGCACTCTGCGATTCTGTTGCTTCCACATGGCTTGCCAGTGTTCCACAGCTGCATCTCTTCTTTTGAGTAAGGTAGTTTGCGATGAATGATATAGTAGCAGATCACCCCAACTGAGAAGCAATCAACCTCCTGGGTATTTGAATTACTGTAGAACTACTCTGGGGCTGCAAAGTTCTTGATCAACTGAAAAACACTATCGTGGTGCTGCACATTGAGTGGGTACCCCCATGAGTCAATATAAACTTCACAGTCGCCACTAAAGCTTATGCATCTGTCGCTTAGACTACCATGGTTGAGCTTTTTATGATGGAGGTCCTTCATCAAGCATATCAAATTCAAAATGGCTTTGGATTGTTGATCCACATTACGCTTGATTCTTTCTGCAAAACTTGCTAGATCTGTACCCCTGTAGGGGTAAACCTCGTATATCCTGTCTTCAAACTCACTAGCTTCAGGTAATACCGCATTCCATAACCTTTGTCTTTAGATGGAGCCTTTGATATTTTGAGCCTAGGTATAGGCATTATATAAGCTATCGCTGGGGCGATGAGATACCTTGAGGATGCATTCTATACTTTGATGTGAATTTAAAGGTTGACCTTGGTTCACCCTGGTGCACAAGTACCTCATGCTGAAGAAATCAGATGGCAGTGTTCTCTCAACCTTGAGGTTGAATCTCTCTCCATAGAGCTTGTTCATCATGTCTAGATGATGTTGGTTGGCAAGTATGGCAGTCTAGGACTGGTGGATGTAGTAGTTGTTTTACATCTAGGCTAAGGTCTTAGCCATCTGCTGGTTCTTGCGTTTTTACTTCTCAACCAGCTTCATCTCTCTCTTGAGCTTAAGGTAAGATTAATTGATTGTTGCTACATGCTCCTCCTACTTCTTATCATACTTGTAAATTTTCATGAGTTAGTCTACATGCTTCTAATCACTCTAGGTGAGCTCTACCTCAGATTCACTCTCCTCAACCAACACTACTCCCTCTAACAGATTCGAGACCTTGGTCCACTTATCAGCTACTTCATGGTTAATCTAGTAATGCAGCTCCAGCTGATTAAGTATATTCGCAATATTCACTTACTCATCTTTAGGCTGTGGTACATGTATGCTTTGTGTGCTATGCACCTCGACCCCCCTTGTTGTTGATGGTGCTTGGTCTAATATTCTAGCTATAGCTTGTCTCACATCATTAGCTTTTTGTTTGTTTTGTGCAGCGATCCACTTGGATCCATCATTCATGATTTTTACTTCGAACCACCCTGGTGCTAACTAAGATAATGATTAGATTTCCTCTATGAACTTTGCTAGAGGTACCTCCTCCAGTAAGTCTTTGCGTATTGTAGCATCTTATCTGTAGATATCCTCAATCTTGACTTTGTTTTTGTGAGCTAGAGCTACCCTGACGATGCCAAAGAACTTGTTGAACCTTTGTACTTTATTGAGAGCTGACTCCAGGTGGATCGTCTCCAGAGTTTGTTGCTTCTTCATTTAAAGAACGTGCTTCTTCTGGAGGATCTCTCTAGCAGTACCTGCACCAATGTTTTATCTCAGTATAAGGTAGTTGGCTTTCTCTTAATCATTTAGTTGAAACTCCTAGATGTTCTACATATCTTCATCTAGACTAACCTGGTTGCTGAGATTCTACTATATTTATTCATGACATGAACTAGCTCTAGCTCTAGGTGGATCAACCTCGGGTTGATTGCCAACTTTATTTGTAATGTTCAAGCTCGATTGTGGTAGGTCATCATTAGCATTAATCATCTTGTTTATCTCACCTAACCTGGTGCTCTTGTAAATGTAGAGCATATGCCTCTCTCCAGAACCTTGCATAGTCATAGAGAATCTAGAATGAAGTTTATAGTTCTTCACCTCTAATGGACCCAGGGTAGTCCTCTCATCTTTGCACCAAGCAAATACTTGAAGATGCTTAGTCTTGTTAATGAGCTTGGCTAGGGTAATGTTATCCTTGAAACTGAATCGAACATTGAAACTGTAGAGATGAGTTATTGGGGCACCATCTGGTGCTGATAGCGATTTCAAGTTGCAAAGGTTAAGGTGCTGGAACTAAACTCGATTGAGACATTCGAGAATATCCTTGTCGTTGGCATTGCTAGACTATAGTTCAGCAAGACATTCGTTGCTCAGTCGAGCTCGTTTAATGGAGCACTCTATGCCATAGCTCAACATAGGTGTACTGATAGCTATGTCTATCACAACTTTGCCATAGCCAGAGCCAATATCGACGAAGGTGCTGGTTGATGAAATTCCTATGTCTTGCAAGATTTTGATGAGTTGTTGAATGCAGCCCTAGGTGGCTTCGCCATAGCATATTTGAGAATCAGTGCCATCAAGTTGATCATCAGGGGCCACCTTGCCCTTGCTTCGAGTCATGTGAACTGGGGTTGGTTGAGACTCACGAGGAATGATTTCTTAGTAGCTCCAGTCCAGGTTGGTCTTGCTGGAGATAAAGTTGTACATGGAGGTTCTGAATTTGTTAATTCTTAGTTGCACATCACATACCTAAGGTGGTTCTAGATTAGATTGGTCTTTCACCACCAATGCTGCTATATCAGTGATCGTTGAGTTTGATTGATTCATGTGGTCCTCTGAGACTCTTGAGATTGATGAAAGCATATCGCTCTTTGCAGGACCACCTACATTTGAATGAGCTGGGTTATCATCTATAAACTTTGCAATTTAGAGAACAACATCACTTACATGTTAGATAGAGCCATAGCTCCTCTTCTTTGGAGTTAGCCTGATAGAGCAGGTTCGTTGACTTTGACCTAAGTGCATAGCTCGTGGGTAATTAGAATTTTACTTACTCAGGTCAACCACCTGGTTCTAAGTGTAAATGAGGCACTTCGTTTCTTTTGATGGATTGAGAGAGATGTCGGTTGAGGCATTCATTAAGTCGATGGATGTATCTTTGGTCGTTGTTCGAAAAGTCTTCTCGACCTGGGGCTTTGATTGTTTATGTCTGTCCTACTAAGAGTAATGTTAGTCTAGATCTAAACTTTAGACTTACCTAGTGTGGAGACATTGACTTTAAAATTTTAGGTGGTAGCCCACCTAGTTTGAACTCTTCAAGAGGATGAATTTCTAGGTAATCTTGTTGCTCATCATCAGAGGCAGGTGCACCTAGAGTCTAGCTATCTAAAGTATTGTCTTTGCTAAGGACCTGGTTCTCTATTGGGTTTTATTGTTCGATAGCCAGGATCTAGCTATACCTCATTCCAATCAAGCACTTCCTCTTGTGATTTCTTAGAGAGTCCTTGCTCATGAAGCCATTGCCACAGTGTTCACAATTTTAAGTTCGCTTGCTTGCAAGATGTTGTCTGGCTTGGTGGACCTTGTCCTCGTGGTATTTGAAGTTATGTTTTCTGAGGGACTAAGGGAATTCGAAGACCTTATTGCACTCTTGGCACTTGTAGTCGCGTACCATTACTTTCTTAACTTTAAATTTAAAATTATAGATTTGAATTAGAAATTAGAGATATAGGTGGAGCAAGAGTGCGAAAGTAAAGTGAGCACCACGTACCCTAAGAAGTGAAATGTGAAATGATGCTCGATGGACTACTGGCATGGTCTATATTAAGAATGTGTAAAAATGTAGCAGAGCTACCATATGTGGATCGAGCAATATGCAAATGGCTCTCGAGTTCGGGGGTTACCATATTCATTGCAACATTTTAATTAATTTCGCAATTTATTAATTAACCTACCTGGTTTTATTCATAATTCTCTCAACCAACCTCAATCTCAAGCAAGATGTCAAATGGGGTTTTATATTTTTCTTAATATTATACTTTTTGGGAGAATCGAATTCTCCATAGACATTGGCAAGAGCGAGTATGGTGGGGGAAGTTGTTGATTTGGAATTTAAGTTTGAATAAGGTTAGGGCGAACGAGGTCATTCGTTCTTGTCATCTTGAATTTAAGTTTGAATAAGGTTAGGGCGAACGAGGTCATTCGTTCTTGTCATCTTGTCTTCTTGCAGTGAGGTACTGAGGCTGAAGTGCACTGCCCTAGGTCTAGGCAGAGCCTGAGTATCTGGTCTCTTTGGATCTAAGAGAGATGTACTGCTCGTCAGCTCTAGGGTAGTCGTTGCCTTTGAACCTCTTGGTGGTGGTGGGTGTAGGATTGAAACCTGTCACATCAGCATAGGTGAAGTGAGAGAGACCTTTGTCTCTGTGGCCAATCACATTGTCTCTGTCAGGCAAACTTCTCTTCTTGCTTCCCACATTGAGCAGGCCCAAGGCTCTGCCTCTCGAGTTAGGATTGAGGTTGATGGCTCCTTTGATGAGCTGGTACATGTCGGCCTTGATTTCAATGAATCTCTTGTTCTTCCTAGCTGCCTCATCCTGTCTCAACTTCAGACCCATCTTGATGTTGTGTTCGAAGAACTTGGGTTTCACAGTGTTGATGACCTAAGGTAGGTAGGTTGTTGGACTTCAATCTTACATTGAAGAAGAATTGTCTATTGAGAGGCCTACCATCTTTGCGATCTGGCAGGTATAGCTCTATCCCTCTGTCGCTGTACGCATCTGAGGTAATGGCCTTTGCTGAAAGTTCAGACATCTTAGGTACATTGACCATGCAAACCTCATGGGTGAGGAACACCTACACAATGAACAACCTATCTTACCTTCTTGCGACCACTGAAGACCTCCCTCAAGAACTCGATAGAGCAATCTGCATATGGAGGGAGGTAGTACTGACCTATATCGAGTTAGTTGATGAACTAGACCTACCTTGGTTCACGAGAATCGAGTAGATCTCTTTCTTGGATTTCATGATGGAGGCCAAGGCACTGGTTCTCACGGTGTTGATCACCGACCCATCTGAGTTCTTCTTCGACTCCAGGATGTTCGAGTCCTTCTCCACCTCCTCCTAAGCTCTCTGCTGATTGTGTCTACTAGGAGGTCTCTTGTACTCTTCGTAAGACTGGTACTGGGAGTCTGCATAAGTTTCAATGGACTCCCTAGCTCTCTTGCGATTTGGGTCCATCTGGTCCTGGCCGTACATATGCTGCTGCATAAACTTGTCGTTCGACTGCTAGTTGGAGCCCTGGTTGTTCATCAAGTGAGAAGGTATCGACACCTGCTCCATCTAGTCCTTGTCGCGAGTGCCAGGACCATACTCGTAGTCTGAGTCTTCATTGCCAATGTGGTTGGCCTCTGGAGTTTTTCTCTCTTCAATTGCTCGATGTTGAGCAGCTAATGGCTGCTGCTGGTGGGTCTGCTGCTGCAGCTGGTTGTTGATTTGCTCGAACTCATCCTGCATCTGGGCATTCATGGCCTACCTGGCTCCATCCACCTAGGGCAAGTCGAAACCACTCACTCTCGGGGTAGGTTATCTCTGAAGTCCATCACCATTTGCCTAGTTATTAAATCCGCAGTATTGACTTACCTGGGGGTACTGGCTCTCGCCTCCATCATCGAGAGCAATGTCGAATTCGTATCCCACTGAGGAGACCTCACCCTCTTCATACTAGCCTCCACCCCCAGCACGGTAGGGTGTCTGTTGGTTGCTGTTCATCAGTAAACGATCAGAAAAATTATAATCAGCTGCTGATTAACGTTAGTTGCAGCTGCAATCAATTTTAATTTTATTTCTGTGATTGCAAGTTTTTTATTGCAAGGACCTATATTGGCTCTCAAATTCGCTCGAATTTCTTGGATATGGTGGGTCTAGCATTTTGTGAAAAATATATAACTCGCATAATGTTGTTCTTTAGACTTATGGCAAGGTCCAGATGGGTCGGGGTGACACCATTTCTAAATCCACCACCATCTATATAAATTTTGCTGTGGCAACCATATACATGATTAATCAGTATATGAGCAAAATTTATATAGATGGTGGTGGATTTAGAAATGGTGTCACCCCGAATTTTGTCACAGTCGTGGCACTTGAAGTCGCGCACCATTACTTTCTTAACTTTAAATTTAAATTAATGATATGAATGAAAACTTTTGAAATATAGGTGGAGCGAAAGTGCGAAAAATATAGAGATCCACCTACTTCATGAAATCAAAGATGGAAATATGCTCGATGGACGACTCGCATCGTCTATTTCAAGAATGTGTGAAAATGAATGTCGGTCACCGAAGGGGTGTCTAGAAAAACGTGGATGGCTCCCAAGTTCGGGAGTTACCATATTCCTGCGACAAAATAATTAAATACCTCTAATTATTTATTTAATCCACCTGGATTTAATTCACAAATTTCTAGACCACCTTACACTCAAATCAGTAGAGCAAGATGGGGTTTCTATTTTTCTTAATATTATGATTTTTTGTGAGAATCGAACCTGCACCAGGTGGACCTAATAAGGGTAGGGTAAGGAAGTTGTTGATTTTGAATTTAAGTTTGAATAAGGTTAGGGCGAACGAGGTCATTCGTTCTTGTCATCTTGTCTTCTTGCAGTGAGGTACTGAGGCTGAAGTGCACTGCCCTAGGTCTAGGCAGAGCCTGAGTATCTGGTCTCTTTGGATCTAAGAGAGATGTACTGCTCGTCAGTCCTAGGGTAGTCGTTGCCTTTGAACCTCTTGGTGGTGGTGGGTGTAGGATTGAAACCTGTCACATCAGCATAGGTGAAGTGAGAGAGACCTTTGTCTCTGTGGCCAATCACATTGTCTCTGTCAGGCAAACTTCTCTTCTTGCTTCCCACATTGAGCAGGCCCAAGGCTCTGCCTCTCGAGTTAGGATTGAGGTTGATGGCTCCTTTGATGAGCTGGTACATGTCGGCCTTGATTTCAATGAATCTCTTGTTCTTCCTAGCTGCCTCATCCTGTCTCAACTTCAGACCCATCTTGATGTTGTGTTCGAAGAACTTGGGTTTCACAGTGTTGATGACCTAAGGTAGGTAGGTTGTTGGACTTCAATCTTACATTGAAGAAGAATTGTCTATTGAGAGGCCTACCATCTTTGCGATCTGGCAGGTATAGCTCTATCCCTCTGTCGCTGTACGCATCTGAGGTAATGGCCTTTGCTGAAAGTTCAGACATCTTAGGTACATTGACCATGCAAACCTCATGGGTGAGGAACACCTACACAATGAACAACCTATCTTACCTTCTTGCGACCACTGAAGACCTCCCTCAAGAACTCGATAGAGCAATCTGCATATGGAGGGAGGTAGTACTGACCTATATCGAGTTAGTTGATGAACTAGACCTACCTTGGTTCACGAGAATCGAGTAGATCTCTTTCTTGGATTTCATGATGGAGGCCAAGGCACTGGTTCTCACGGTGTTGATCACCGACCCATCTGAGTTCTTCTTCGACTCCAGGATGTTCGAGTCCTTCTCCACCTCCTCCTAAGCTCTCTGCTGATTGTGTCTACTAGGAGGTCTCTTGTACTCTTCGTAAGACTGGTACTGGGAGTCTGCATAAGTTTCAATGGACTCCCTAGCTCTCTTGCGATTTGGGTCCATCTGGTCCTGGCCGTACATATGCTGCTGCATAAACTTGTCGTTCGACTGCTAGTTGGAGCCCTGGTTGTTCATCAAGTGAGAAGGTATCGACACCTGCTCCATCTAGTCCTTGTCGCGAGTGCCAGGACCATACTCGTAGTCTGAGTCTTCATTGCCAATGTGGTTGGCCTCTGGAGTTTTTCTCTCTTCAATTGCTCGATGTTGAGCAGCTAATGGCTGCTGCTGGTGGGTCTGCTGCTGCAGCTGGTTGTTGATTTGCTCGAACTCATCCTGCATCTGGGCATTCATGGCCTACCTGGCTCCATCCACCTAGGGCAAGTCGAAACCACTCACTCTCGGGGTAGGTTATCTCTGAAGTCCATCACCATTTGCCTAGTTATTAAATCCGCAGTATTGACTTACCTGGGGGTACTGGCTCTCGCCTCCATCATCGAGAGCAATGTCGAATTCGTATCCCACTGAGGAGACCTCACCCTCTTCATACTAGCCTCCACCCCCAGCACGGTAGGGTGTCTGTTGGTTGCTGTTCATCAGTAAACGATCAGAAAAATTATAATCAGCTGCTGATTAACGTTAGTTGCAGCTGCAATCAATTTTAATTTTATTTCTGTGATTGCAAGTTTTTTATTGCAAGGACCTATATTGGCTCTCAAATTCGCTCGAATTTCTTGGATATGGTGGGTCTAACATTTTGTGAAAAATATATAACTCGCATAATGTTGTTCTTTAGACCTATGGCAAGGTCCAGATGGGTCGGGGTGACACCATTTCTAAATCCACCACCATCTATATAAATTTTGCTGTGGCAACCATATACATGATTCATCAGTATATGAGCAAAATTTATATAGATGGTGGTGGATTTAGAAATGGTGTCACCCCGA